GGGTGACTTCAATGCTGCATGACATCTAGAAAATATTCCATAATTTTTGTAAAATAAGGGTTACTTGAACACCGAGACAGTCGATCTGATAACCCAGAGGGCTGCGAAGTGACTCAGAGGCGGGGATACCCTGGACAAAGGAATGATTCACCTCCCAAGTGGGATGGAGTGGGAGGGCATGAGATTTCATCATGCTACTCAGAACTGCACACAATTTAAAACTTATGAAGTGTTTATTTCTGGAATTTTCCATTTAATATTTTCATACCACGGTTGAACACAGGTGACTGAAACCACAGAAAGTGAAACTGTGGATAAAGGGGACTACTCTATATGTGTAAATTATTATTTTTATTGTCATTAGTTTTGAATTTAATTTTTACTAATGAATCTATTTTTTAAAAACTCCTCAAATAAGCCCTACCTAGTTTGGCTCAGTGGATAGAGCATATGCCTGCGGACTGAAGGGTCCTAGGTTCGATTCCAGTCAAGGGCACATGCCTGGATTGCAGGCTCAATCCCCAGTAGGGGGCATGCAGGAGGCAGTCAATCAATGATTCTTTCTCATCATTGATGTTTCTATCTCTCTCTTCCTCTCCCTTCCTCTCTGAAATCAATAAAAATGTTTTTTAAAAAACCCAAAAAACTCCTCAAATAATTCTGACTTAACTGAACAGAGTAGAAGGTGAGCTGGATAGGAACATTCCCACCCAAACAGAATCAATACCTTTCTCCTGGTTAAAGAAAAAAAAAAGAAAGATAAAAAGGTTAATAGGTAGAACATTCAAATTTTAAGATCTCTTCCATAAATTTTTTTCTTTATACGAAAAATTAGAGCATGCTACCACTTATCTTCTGACGAACTTCAGTGGAACACAGAGTGAATATGTCCTGAAAAACGCAGAAACAGGTAACCACACTTGCTCTTTTTTTTTTTTTTTTTTTTACAGAGAGGAAAGGAGAGGGATAGAGAGTTAGAAACATCGATGAGAGAGAAACATCGATCAGCTGCCTCCTGCACACCCCCCACTGGGGATGTGCCTGCAACCAAGGTACATGCCCTTAACTGGAATCGAACCTGGGACCCTTCAGTCTGCAGGTCGACCTGCTAGGGCCATCCTGCTCTTTTTTAAAGGGGATGTGTGCTCATGGTTGAGTTATGATACTGGAAACGCAGAATTAAAGGGGTTGTTTTTGCCACTAATTTTTTTTAATTTTTTTTTTTAGTGATTTCGACTGTGTTACGGCAAATTGCATGTAATTTTTAGGTATTCTGCCTTCAGAACAGGTTTGAGAATGCTTGAAATGAGCTCTGAAACCTTCACGCTCGCCCTCTCCCTGCTCTCTCTCCCATCTCTTCCTCCCTCTCTCCTGTTAATCTCTCTCTCCAACTCCCTCCTCCCTTTTCCCTCCACCCCCACCAACTCTCTCTATCCCTGCTCAGATAAGTAACATCCTCGAGGTAGACCTAAAAGCTAACTCTCTGCACCCCTTGAGTTCAACTAGATAGGAGAAAATTCCCCAAATAGGAGTAATTTGATGTCTCAAAAAAGTAGGAAAAATAATATTTAAAATGGGATCTTCCCTCCAAGAGGCCTTATAATCCTTTACAGTTCACAGTGCATCATGACTTTATTTGATCTTTATATCCATTCTGGGAGAAACTATGCTCTTATCAATTTCCAACCATTAAACAAACAAATAATAATAATAATTTAAAAAAAAAACACCCACCCTGGCCGGTGTGGCTCAGCAGATAGAGCGTCAGCCTGCAGACTGAAGGGTCCCAGGTTCGATTCCGGTCAAGGGCATGTACCTGGGTTGCGGGCACATCCCCAGTGCAGAGTGTGCAGGAGGCAGCTGATCGATGTTTCTCTCTCATCGATGTTTCTAACTCTCTATCCCTCTCCCTTCCTCTCTGTGAAAAATCAATAAAATATTTTAAAAAAACACCCTAGGAGATGAACTTTCTAAAAACAAAACAAAAACACTCAGATGAATAAATGAAGTCTTGGAAGGGTTAAGATAATTCCCAGGATCCTTCAAGTAGAAAAAATAAAAACTAAGAGACTTGTTCACAATTACAGAGTAAAAAAAGAATAAACTCAGCAATATAAAGGAACAAACTATTGATATATGCAACAATTTGGATGACCCTCTGGGGAATTATGCTGAGTGGGGGGAAAAAAGAGCCAACCCCAAGAGGTTAAATACTCTGTGATTTCCATTTATATAAAATTTGTGAAATGATGAAATTTTAGAAACACAATAGTGATTGTTACAGGTTAAGTATGGTGGAAGGAGGGGGGACAGGAGGGAAGTGGGTGTGGTTATAATAAAGCAACACAGAGGATGTTTATGGTAATGGAACTATTCAATATCTACACTTTGATGGTGGATACATCCTTAAGGAGCAATAGAAGTGTAAATACACACACACACACACACACAAATGAGTACAAGCAGAACTGAAGAAATCTGAATAATGGACAAATCACTGTCAACATCCTGGTTGTGATATGGTACTATAGTTTTGCACAATAATACCATAGGAAGGAACTGGGTAAAGGGTAGATTTTTCTCTGTTTAATTTCTTACAACTGCACATGAACCTGTAATTATCTCAATAAAATTTTCAATTTGAAAAACAATGAATGAGTCAGAGTGTATCTCTGGCTCCTGGTTCTTGCCTGTGATTATTTACCTCCCCAGCGTGTGATGGAAAGAGATGTGGTCTTGTTCTTGGAATTGCCAGTTTGGCTCAATGCCCCTTTAAGTTAGAGATGGGGGTGTATCCAAATTTGACTCTGGAAGGTATTATTACATCAGGCTAAAAAAATAGGTTCTCCAGAATAACGAAACTCCCCGTGTTTCATACATGGAGAGCCAGGACACCTTACATTTTATATGGGGCATTCCAACATTTTTATTTTCCTGAGCCAGCAATTCCAACACATACCCTGAGTTTTCCCTGACTTTCTGGGCTCAGCTTTTGATGGGGACAGTGTTTAAGGGTGGGAAAGAAGGGAACAGTAACAGAGCCTTAGGTCTGGGGGGAGGGCAATTAGAGTTGCTTGCTTGTGGGAGTGGCAGAGTTCTCTAAGGAATTGTTTGTGTGACAGAACCAGAAACTGAGGGTCGGCTTCTGACCAACAAAGCTGGTGCAGGATGCTCGCCCATTCAGTACCTCAGTCTCGACTCGCCCTTTTCCTTCTTCTGTTCTCCTCCTGCCACTTAGCTTTACCCACCTCTCTCCCCACTCTCCCCACCCCATCTTCTTTTCAGTCTCTTCCTCTTGATTTTTATTTTTCTTCTTTTTGCTACATTGTTCTACTATGGCCACATTATAATTAATACGCAATTTTAAAGTATTAACAAAAAAATAGCCCAGCCGGCGTGGCTCAGTGGTTGAGCATTGACCTATGAACTGGAAGGTCACCGTTCGATTCCCAGTCAGGGCACATGCCTGGGCTGCAGGTTTGATCCCCAGTGTGGGGTGTGCAGGAGACAGCTGACCAATGATTCTCTCTCATCATTGATGTTTCTCTCTCTCCCTCTCTCTTCCTCTCTGAAATAAATAAAAATTTAAAAAAATTAAAAAAAACAACAAGACAGTCACTAAAGCCTAGTGTGGTTGTTGCTGTAAGGTCACAGAACTGCAACTCTAGTCCAGAGCTGTCTCCGCCATGAAACCGCTTCTTGCTGCAGGAGTGCGTTGCTGGGGGTAAGAAAACCTGAGTTACAGTCTGAGCTCCCCCACTAACTTGCCACTTGACCTGAAGCAGCTTGTTTCCTCACCTAGGAAAGAAAAGGAAAGGACTCAGATTTCCCTGTCGAAAGTCACTTTCAGTTTTGCCTGAGTCTAGAGAAACAAGTCTTTCAGGCCAGGGGTGGTGGAATGCTGGAAAAAGACGGGCCAATCTTGATGGAGAATGAGAAGTTAGGTCACTTCACTTGGCATCTTTCCTGGAGGCTCAGTATTCTTATGGGCCAGGAAGTTATCATCAAACCATGTGTCATCAAGCCAAGGCTGCTCTGCAGGCCGACGCTGTAATTATCCTTCCCCCTTAATAGCAAGCAGGAACTGTAGGTGCTGGACCACAGAGGAGGGGCAGTTCATCAGGAGAGGAGGAGGGATCTGACCAGTGCTGAATGACTGTCAAACTAGGAAGGGAGATGATTCCTTTCATGTATCCAGGAAAAGGTTTGCACGGGTGGCTTAATGGCAGGGAGAAGGCTCTTGTGAGGGACTCAGTGAAGAGCAGAAAATGTAAATAGAGTGGAAAACACTGAAGAAAGAGAAATTGCTCTTCCCAAGACTGATTCCCATGGCAATAATAATACCCTAATTCTAGGTCCTAACAGGTTGGGTTCAAAGTAGAGGAGGAGTTTACCTTTGGGGAGGAATATACACACGTTTATGGTGCTTAGTACTTGGGCCAGCACTTTCAAGGGTGTTCTCTCATGTAATCTTCACAGCAGATGAAATAATCTACAAAATATTACTACCCCCATTTTATACCTGAGGAAACTGAGGCTCGGGGAGGTTAAATCACAAAGTAGCATGTTGGGCGGAACCAGCATTAAAGCTGGGCTCGTCTGAGTTCTTTTTAGCAGCTTCTGAGCCACCACTTGTTCTGAAATCTCTCGCCTCGCCTTGCCACTGACCATACACTAATGACAGCTCTAAGAATGCTCTAGTATCTGGCAGTGGGCAGGAAGCTTGGTCTTGATTTTGAGTCAGAAAATCCTGAATTTGAATCTGCCTCTGCTAAGTCTGTGCCTATGGGCAAGATACAAAACCTTAGACCTCAATATTAACGTCTTTAAAGTGCCTCACCCCCAGATCTAAGGCTCTATGACTGTTCCATTCTTTCCCAACCTTAATTTCCTCTAACTGTTGACTTAACAACATCGGAAATGTCTTATGTTTTTGTTGTTTAGAAAGCTGATGATACCGTGATCTGGATTTGCTTCGTGATGACAGCCAGTTAATAAAATTGATAATAAGCACAGTGATGGTTTATTAAAATTTTAAAAAGAGAAAACCTAACAGTTCTTGGCTGCCTTATTGTTTATGCACAGACAGAGGCAGCTGCCCCTACAAAGTCAGACCTTCCTGTTTCAGTAGGGCTATTAGGAAAAAACATCCAATCAGAAGTAACAGCGAGGCTCCCAAGCTGACTTTTCAGCTTACTAGCAATGTGAACTTGAAGGAATCATTTAACCTACCCAAATCTCACTAGTCTCATCGGCAAAATGAAGATAATACTTGCCCTACCCTTCTTCTTTTTAACAGATTTGAGTATCAAGTGGAACAGTGCACATGAAATCCGTGAATACCGCATAGTTCTATTATATTGCAATGCCAGACAGTATTCTCACACATTTACTAGGGCCTGGTTTTTAAGCTTTTTCTAAAAATAGTCAACTGATGGGTCTTTGGTGCCAATTCAAGGCCAACAGGAACCCCCACATTGTGACATGGTGAAGACGGAAACTCTATTCAGTGCAAAACAGCTCAGTTGTAATATAGCTCAGTTGTAATACAACTACAGCAGAACTGTGAGACAGCTCTGAGGCCAGGCTCCTCTCCAGCCAGACAGCTCTGTTCCATGCTGGTCTGCTCCAGAAAAACAAAACAAAAACAACACAACAGCAGGGAAACACTCTTTAGTGAAAAGGGAAAGTGCACCCTCAGAGAGGAGAGCTGACTTATATAGACAGAGGTCCCCGCCCTGTTCCCTGATTGGTCTGTCCTCATGCAAATGAAGACTCCAAATCCACACAATTTGATTGGTCCCAAAGGCACTGTCCAGATAGCTCAGAGTGGAGTCACTTTGGTCAGTGAAGAAGCTGATTGGGATACAGGTGTGTAGCTCTGATTAAATGGGGAAAGCCTCAGTCCTACTGGTGGAAATAGGATTCCAGGAACTCCTTTGTGAGGATTGGCTCAGCTGGCGGAAATACAGCGCAGGCAGGCAGTTCAGTGCAGACTTCTCCCTGAAGTGCAGTTTGTAAGGGAGGCCCCTGCGTAGGAATGGCTCCTAGGTTCTGGTGTTCTTTTGTTTGTTTTTAATTTGAGCCCAGGTAGCCACTGGGAGCCTTTTTTTTGTAGGTATGTTCTTTCTTAGGGTCCACGCTACAAACAGTCCAATAGAAATCCTTCAATTCAACATTGGATACTACGACATACACTGAGAAGCATAGTTTACTTATTCGCTGCCATGTCCAGTGCTGGTGCTATACCTGGCAAAAAGTAAGTGCTTGGTAAATATTGGTTGAATGAAGGAAAGAAGAAGTGAAGCTGGGCAAGTAGGTGTGAGCAGGTTTGTGGCGTTAGGACTGTGTGAAAGTAGGGCAGAGTAATTGTGTGAGTGAAGCATGAGGATCACCTTAGGCTTTTACAGTAGTATTTCCAGAGTGGACAGAGCCGGGTTGTGGCAGCCAAAGATGAAACTGTTTTCTTCCTGTTTTGTTCCAAATGGAGCAACCTCCCTTGCAGTTTCTTAACTAAACTAAGGAGATAGGAAAAGGCATAGGGGAGAATGGTTGAATCAGCATTTTTGTCTGAAAATATTTTTAGTTAGCAAAACACCATCAATTCACAACAATATTTAAGAACAATAAAAAACGGAACAGCCCTGGCTGGGTAGTTCAATTGGTTAGAGCATCGTACCAATAAGTCAAGGTTTTATCCCAGATCTGGGCACATAAAAGAAGCAAGCAATGAATGCATAAATAAGTAGAACAACAAATGGATCTCTCTCTCTCTCTCTCTCTCTCTCTCTCTCTCTCTCTCTCTCTCTCCCTCTCCCTCTCCCTCTCCCTCTCTCCTCTCTGTAAAATCAATTTAAAAAAAATTTTAATGGCCCTAACCGGTTTGGCTCAGTGGATAGAGCGTTGGCCTGTGGACTGAAGGGTCCCAGGTTCGATTCCCGTCAAGGGCATGTACCTTGGTTGCGGGCACATCCCCAGTGGGGGGCGTGCAGGAGGCAGCTGATGGATGTTTCTCTCTCATCGATGTTTCTCTCTATCCCTCTCCCTTCCTCTCTGTAAAAAAATCAATAAAATATATATATTAAAAAAAATTTTTTTTAATGGAACAAAGAATAGTTAGTACCGACTTTACTACTCACATTTGGCTGCTTCTTTTCTTGTGTCTGTAGCCAGACAGGAACTACTGGTTGCTCAAACCGGGCGCTTTTTCTTCTCCAGGCCTCTGGCTCAGCCACCAATAATCTTTCCTGCCAACTGCCAAAGTCAAAAATGCCAATGAGTTAATCACTGGCTCAGCAAGTATTTATTGTGTTCATTTAGCATCGACAATGTGTAAGGACGGAGGGAGCAAACAGGCTAATTTTGGTAGAAGGAGAAATATATATAAAGGCATAACTGTAATGCTGCAAGATAGGTTCTTTTGTTATACAGCAGTTTTATTGACATTTAATTCACATACCATAAAATTCATCTCTTCAGTGTCCAGTTCAGTGGTTTTTTGTATATCAGACTTGTAAAACCAACATCACTATCTAAATTTAGAACATTTCATTGACTCCTGAAAGAAACGTTTATGTTCATTAGCAGAAATTCCCCATTCCCCACGCCCTCCCGGGTCCTAACAACCGCGAATCCACTTTCTGTCGCTACGGATTTGCCTATTCTGGACAATTCATGTAAATACAATCATACAATATGTGGCCTTTTGTGACGGGCTTCCTTCATTTCACATAATGTTTTCAAGTTTCATCCAGGTTGTAGTTTCTGTCAGTACTTCATTCCTTTATATAGCTGAATATTATGTTGTATGACTATAACACATTTCTGCACTTAGATTCATGAGCCTTTTTAAGTTATTTTCTGTACAATAAATGGAAGTGGTCCCACTTAATTATTTTCCACATAACTATCCATTGTCCCAGCACCACTTTTGAAAAGACTATTTGTGGGGAACCGATATAGGGTTAAGCCTCGGACTGACCTGTTGGCAATAAATAACATCATCCTTTTCTATTTTGTTATAACCTTTTCTATTTACAACACTTGAAAGACTTATTTTTTTCCTTTGACTGAGATATAGGGCCATCATAAAACTTATCTTCACTAACTCCAAATGGCTGTATCTGCCAAGTATATTATCTCAACTTAACAACACTTTAAAATACTTCACACACAAAGCAGGGTGACAATGAGTTCCTGATCTTGTGGTTGCATTTTGCCAGAATAACAAAACTGTCCCTTTACCAGTCAAATGGATGGACGAGGAGGTATACGACAGGTAAGCAGAGGAAAGTGAGAATAAAACAAAGCTTCTTAAACCGTTCTTTAAATACCCACTCCTGTCAATCCACCTTGACTTAAAAGAAAATGTGTGCACCCTGGCCAGTGTGGCTCAGTTGGTTAGAGCATCAGCCCACACACTGAGAGGTCTCTGGTTCGAGTCCTGGTCAGGGCACATACCCAGGTTGTGGGTTCAATCCCCAGTCGGGCACGTGCTGATCAGTGGTTCACTCTCACATAGATGTTCCTCTCTCTCTCCCCCCCTCTTTTTCCCTCACTCTAAAAAAAAAAAAAAAAAAAAAAATCAGAGTGGATTAGAAAATGGTGGTACAACTACACAATGGAATACTACGCTGCTGTAAAAAAGGAATCCTTACCATTTGCAACAGCATGGATAGAACTGGAGAGCATTATGCTAAGTGAAATAAGCCAGTCGGAGAAAGATATCACATAATCTCACTCATTTGTGGAATATAATGAACATCAAACTGATGAACAAAAATAGATACAAAGAAGCATCAAACAGACTGTCAAACTTTAGCTGGAAGATAGCGGAGGGTTGGGGGGTGGGGGTAAGTGATCAACCAAAGGACTTGTATGCACGCATATAAGCATAAGCAATGGACACAGACACTAGGGAGGTGAGGGCATGTGCCAAGGGTTGGGGGAGGCTGGCAGGAGGTCAATGGAGGAAAAAGGCGACATATGTACCACTATCCATAATACTTTAAATAATAAAAGAAAAATAAAGTTCCTCATGAGCTATTAACCTAAAAAAAAAATCAATAAGAATAGATAAGGTTTGCTATTGTGCTTCCCTCTCTGACTGGATTTTGGGAGAGGCAGGTAACTATTCCTCAGCAAAAGGCATGAGGCCAGAAGTAAGGAGGGCCAATTCCCCTGGGTGGGCTCATTTCCCTGGATGCCCACTTAAATAGATAGGTCCTGTGGTCCCCAAGGAGAAGGCTTATCTTGTCCAGATTCATGGTGGATTTCCCTGTGACAATGGTCAGTAAAGGCTTGTTTAAAGGTGTCCATCTGCCTTGACGGGGTCTTTCGTCTAAGCTCAGGTCAGAGGGCTAATGGCTTTTGTGGTTGTTGTCTGGAGAGACCCCATACCACATGGAGATTCCCCTTGAGCTGCAATTTTCGACCTTTTTCATTTCCTGGCACATATCAACTAACTACTAAAATTCTGTAGCACGCCAAAACTTACATATATTTCTTTCTAATCTGACCAAAAAGTAGGTATAATTTTGATTCCTTCGCACCTATGACTATCGTAGTGTTGGCTGGTTGTCTTTTTATTTGACAGTCTATGGGAAAAGAGGCCAGGCTCCCAGACTAAATAATCAGGTATGGCATGTTTTAAAAATTCTTGTGGCACACTGATTAAAATCGCTGCTCTTGAGTAGTAACTTTCCTGGTTTTCAGGTTTGTTTTCTTCAAGGAAAACGTTTCTTTATACATATCCTCTGCCCTTAAAGTGCACATTATCATCATGCACACTTTTACAGGTGAGAAACTGAGGCCTTGTGAGGTTAAAGCACATACCCAAGGCTGCGAGGTAGTAAATGGCAGGGCTGATTAATAAACCCATACTTTGTCCACACAGACTGTCTATAATAATTGCTATAATAAAAGTTCAGACCGGTAATCTGTTTAAATATGTAATGCACAGAGTAATTAATAGAAAACTATATTGTATTTAGTTATCTTGACCATCACCTCTCCCTACTACCTCACTTCAAAGAAGATGGACTTGTCCAGAGACTATAACATGTGATCTCTCTTACAACTACATCTAATACAAATAACTAAGAAATATCAATGGCTTGTGGCAGCCTCACAATTTTATTTTTAAAATTGTATTTTAAAAAACAAATATAACCTACATACCAGAATTGTCCACCCTTTTAAAGAATACAATTCAGTGGTTTTTAGTATTTTACATTTGTAAAAACCAATACCACTATCTAATTAGAGAACATTTTTATTCACTTCTGAAGCCTCTTTTCTTACAGGTACAAGAAAACTCCAAGAAAGATCGAGATCCCAAACACAACTGGAGCCAGCAAGTGTAGTGCTGCTACTGTAGTCATCAAAAGGAAACTGCATTGCAAGTAGTATGAATATGACATATACGGCCATGGCCGGAGTGCTAGGTTGATTAGAGTGTCATCCCAATATGCCAAGGTTGCAGGTTGGATTCCTGGTCAGGACACATAAATGCACATATATTTGTATACTCTATCAGAATCATTCGGAAGTGTCATAGACATGATTCTCCCTTATTCCTGTCAACTTTATCAGAATCATTCAAAGGTGTTACAGACATGATTCTCCCTTATTCTTAAATGCTGGGTACTTCCTAAAACAAAGGACAGTCTCCAGACAAACCACAATATTACAAAATCAGGAAATTAACACTGATATAATACTGTTATTTAATCTACAGACCTTATTCAAATTTTTTCTATTGGCCCAATTAACAGATACAATATTGTTATTTGATATACAGGCCTTACTAAAATAGTTTTCTTTTGTCCCAATAATGTTCTTTAAAGCAAGAAAAGATTAAAAGAAAAAAAAAAGGATTTCTGGTCCAGGATCCATATTTAATAAATTCCTTTAATCTGGAATAGTTCTTCAGTCTTTCTCATTCATGACCTTCATAGTTTTAAGAATATAAGCCAGTTACTTTTCAGCCTGCCCCAAGAACAAGGAGGATGAAGAGGAGAAAGGGAAGGAGGGAAGATTCTAACTTATTCTGGAAGTTTTAAAGGTGGTTTCCAGTGAAGACTATAGGTAAAGTGAGCTCCTATTCTCAAGGTTCCTCTCAGCCAACTCATACTGATTATTCTAATACATATTAGAATTATTTACAGCCCAGAGGCCCGGTGCACAAAATTCGTGCACTCGGTGGGGGTGGAGGGGTCCCTCAGCCTGGCCTACACTTAGTCCGGGAGCCCTCAGACATCCTTAGTGCTGCTGCAGAGGCGGGAGAGGCTCCCCCCACCACCACCACCACCAGCTCAGGGCTTCTGGCTGAGCAGCGCTCCTCCTGTGGGAGCACACTGACCACCAGGGGGCAGCTCCTGCATTAAGCATCTGCCCCCTGGTGGTCAGTGCACATCATAGCGACCAGTCATTCCGTCATCGGTTGATTTGCATATTAGCCTTTTGTTACATAGGATGGGATAGACAATAAAACCTTTTGTATTCAGAATGGATCTGCTTGTACAACATAGATTTTGTTCTTGGCATTCCTGCATCTTACAAGAGTTGAATTTTCTCAAAAGTAGGGTTGTGTCAAAGAATTACCACCTACTCTCTTTTAGTCCTTGAGAATTAAATTACCTGCAGACTCCCATTTTCAGAAGCTCACCTTCAGTAGCTGAACTATGGCCTAAATCAGGAGACAAGAGCTGCAAAATGGATGGGTATTCTTCCTTAAAATCATTCAACAGATATTTGTTGAGACCTGACCAGGCAGTTCAGTTAGAGCACTGTCCCAATAGCCAGGGTTTCGGGTCCCGGGTCAGGGCATATATAAGAATCAACCAATGAGTGCATAACGACCTCTCTCTCTCTCTCTCTCTCTCTCTCTCTCTCTTCCCCTCCCTTTCAATAAATAAAATAAATTAAAAAAATACATTTGTTGAGTGCTCAGTATATGTCAGGCTCTGTTCCAAGCCCTGGGAATACCTTCGAGAACAGAAGAAAACAAATCAAAAGCCTTATCCTTGTAATCTAGTTGGGCAAATTAAAATTTAAATGAGCAGAATCAGAAACCCAGGCTCTGGCTTCCTTAAACAGGAAGAAGGCAAACCTCGGTGAAAGGGGGAGCCCGGAGATTGGATTCTAACATGGGCAGCCCTGCGGAATCTCTGGCCGGCGGGCTGATAATAAAGCTCAGTTTCCCCCACGCCCTTTCCAAACGGTTAATCCGAACACGAAGGCCTGCGAGGAGGAGCGGGGCAGGATTACTGAGCTTTCTAACCACTTTCTCAGCCACACGTGCGGCGCGGCGTGGGACGTGGGACCTCCGGGCTGCGTGGCACGCACTGGGGTGCGCCCGGCCAGGCTGCCAACCCGCGCGCACCCCTCCCGGGCGGCACCTCCCGGCCCAGGTAGGGCCGAGCACCTGGGAACCGAGCGCCCAGCAAGCCCGGCGGGGAGGCGGCTCGGGGGAACCGGCTCCTCCGGGCGGCCTCGCCCACTGCAGTGCAATCTGGGTGGTTTTCCCAGGTCCCTCCCTGCCTCGCCCGCGCCCAGTCCCAGCCCCCGCGGCGCCGGCGGGCCCCCGAGGGTGGCTCCGAGGTCCGGGGATGAGGCGGGGACCCTCTCGGACCCCGCACCCCGCAGTCCGGGAGGTGGTAGCACACGCCGCAGCCTGCACGGCAGGCGCGCGTGGGACCGAGTCACCTCCCCGGCCGCCGCCCGCACTCGGGGGGCGGGAGCAGCTCCCCGCGCCGCGGGAGGCAGCGTCGGCCCCCGCAGCCTCGCAGCTAGGAAACGCGGCGGTTCGGTCCGGCTCCCGAACCCACCGCCCGCCCTGCTCCCGAGGCGCCAACCCCCTCTGCCCTCCGGCCGCGCTCCCTCCCCGTCGGTTCAGCCCGGCCGCCAGCTCCCCCGGGCTGGGGTGCTGCAGGGGGTTTCCCGTGGCGATAGGTGTGCGGTTCCTGACTTTTTATCATGAATATAAAGAGACCTGGACTCGGAATAGTAATACTTGAGACGGAATCGTGTACCCCAAAAGAGACCGGTCGGAAATCTACAACTCGAGGAAACTTCACCGCCAGGGCTTTCCTCTCCAAAATGTCAACAGGACCCACCGCAGCGCCCCCCGACGTGGTGGTGGGCGCGCAGCCCCGGGCCAGACCTCGCCGAGCGAGAGCAGGGGCCGCGCTGGGGACCTGCCCCAGCCCCGCAGGGACACGGGCCAAGGTGTAGAGGGCGCGGGGTCCGAGGGGAACCGAGGGGAGGCTGGTGTCTCGGTCCTCCCGGTGGCGGCATCTTATTTAGGGCGCGGGGCAATCCAGGCAGCGGCCCCTGCCCCGCGGGAGGTTTCCGCCCGGAGCCGGCAGCCAGCACCTCACAGGACGTGGCCAGGACGGGAGTAGCCGGGAGGAAAGGCGATGGGGTCCGCGGTGCCTGCACGTCCTCCCGGGGGACCCCTGACGCCCGGCGCGCAGCGACTGCTTCTCGGAGCGTCGCCGAGAGGCTGGCCGTCCGGGCCCGGAGCGCGGCGCGCTCACTCCCGAAGGCGGGCAGCACCCGGGGGTTCGGGGGAGCCGGCGCCGGCCTCCAGCTGGAGGAGACGGGCCGCGGGTCCCGCTGTTTGCACGGCAAGGTGTGCTGGGCGTGGGAGCGGCTGTTCCGGGGCCTGGCACGGCCCCGCCACCTCCCCGCTGCCGTTGGCGGGCCCTCCCTCCGCCCTCCCTCCGCGCCCCGGGCAGCCCCGCACCCGGGCTTCACCTCTGGCCTCCTTTCGCCTCCCCGCGCCGGTCCTCCTCCGGCTTCGTTCCCCACGGCCGGCATGTCTCCAACCCCCTACACCTCTCGGTTACCTCCAAAGGCGTGACCCCCCCAAACCCCCGTGCCCTTTCCCCCTCACCCTTTTCCCTTCGGGCCTCAGCTCTCCTCTGGGTGGCCACAGCCTCTTCCCGCCCTGCGTGTCTCCCCCACCCCCCCGTCCCCCGCCCTTCCCGGCCGCCCCTCTCCATTCATCCAGCCATTGTCTCCCGCCCCCTCCTCCTCCTTTTCCCCAGGCGGCCTCCTCCCCCACCGCTGCCACGTCGTGGTTTGAAGGAGCCAATAGGCCGGCGCCGCCAGGTGTCTCTTACCTGCACCACGTGGGGGAGGGGGAAGGGGCGGGCAGGTAGGGCCACATCCCAAAACAGAAAAGCTTTCAGCCATTGCGCGCGCCTCCCGGGGGTGCAGCCCGGCTCGAGGCTCTTTGCATAGACGCACCGGCAGCTGAATACAAAAAGGGCAGGTCGGCGGCGCCCTCCTTCCCGCCCCCCTTCCTGCCCAGGGCGTGGAGCGCTGGCCAGGTGTCGGCTGGGGTGGCTGCTTACCGCCTTTTGCTCCGGCTGCGGCGAGAGGAGGAGGTGGCGGGGGTGGGGGTGGGCGCACTTTCCTTTTCTTTCTGGAGCGGTGCTAGCGCCGGGCCACCCGTCCTCTCTCCCGCGCCGCCTCGCCGCCGCCCGACCCCCCTTCTCCCCCTCCCCACCTCTCGTCATGACGGCGTCTCCGGACTACTTGGTGGTGCTTTTTGGAATCACTGCTGGGGCCACGGGGGCCAAGCTGGGCTCGGATGAGAAGGAGCTGATCCTGCTGTTATGGAAAGTCGTGGATCTGGCCAACAAGAAGGTAGGTTCCCGCAGCGCCTGCCCAGACGGCGGGAGCGGGGCCAGAAGTTGGCGGCGGCGGTGGGGGGAGCCCAGTTCGGTAAACAAGTGCCCTCGTTTGTTCACTTGGTGAGGCGGGACCTGGGGCCTAGAGAACCCGGGGGGGAACCGAATTCGTTGGCCAACAGCCGGGGAGCTGTTTCTGCACCTTCCCGCCCAACCCCCCAAACCTGGCGCAGGTGGGGAGGCCGGGCGCGGGACGCCCCGCGGAGCCGCGTGGAACCCCCCGGGGTCCCCGGTCCGGGTGGGGATGGGGGTGGGGTCGGAAGCTGGGCCGCGCCGACCTCGCCGCCTCCGGAGTGGCGGGCGACACGTGAGCTCTGGTTCCGGCGGCCGGACCCCTCCGGAGGCGCGGGCCGCCCCAGGGGGGGAGCGGGAGGGGGGAGAGGGGCAAAGGCCCCCGCATGGAAGAGGGGGGACACTGACTCCCGCGTCTTGGCCCCCCCGCCTCCCTCCCCCGAGGTGGGACAGTTGCACGAAGTCCTGGTGAGACCGGACCAGTTGGAGCTGACGGAGGATTGCAAGGAAGAAACGAAGATCGACGCCGAAAACCTGTCCTCGGCGCCGCAGCTGGACCAAGCCCTCCGACAGGTGACAGCCCCGGCCGGGGCCCGCCCGCCCCCCGCCCCGCCGCCCAGGTGTCCGGGGCAGCGGGCCCGGCCGGACCGGCCCCCCACGCCCTCGCCCGGCGGTCCCCGCGCGTTCCCGGGGCGGAGGGGCCGGCCGCGTGGGTGGGGATCCAGCCGGAGGCCCGGGGCGGACCTTTGGGGAGCAGGTCGCTGTTCCTCTTCCCCCGGACCCTTCGGGGTCTTGGGCCAGAACTCGCTGGCTTTCCAGCTGCTTCCCGAGTCCAGCTGCTGGGCCCGAGAATCGGCCGGGTTTTACCCATCGGGGGATGAACGGGGTTTGAATCCTAGCGCCCCCACTTCCCCGGCCCAGACCCCCGACGTCCCTGCCCGCTGCTGGGTTTGGGCCTGCGGCTCAGCCCCGGGTCAGGGGGCGCTGTGGTGTCGACCCGGGGTCCGGCCCCGTGCTTGGGTGCAGGATTCTGAGCTCCCAAGGGCTCGATTCCGGTTCCATGATTGCTTCTGCGGTGGCCTTGGTCCGAGCGCCGCGCCGGGGAGGGTTGGCGGGCCCGGACGTGCGGGGGTGCCTCTGGGGCCACCGAAAAGAGGTGGAATCGGTCCCCTTCTTGGAATCGAGGTGACCTAACCCCCAGCTGCTGCGGGGTCCTGACCTGCTAGGGGTTGGGAGGCGGGGCCGAACACCTGTGCACAGGTGCGAGTCCGATGCTCTCCTGGCGGGTTGCCCATGATAAAAGGCGAAAGTCATCATTTCTGAGGGGTGTTCCAGGAAGCGTGTGACCCGACTTTCCAGAGGTCTATATAGACATCCACCCACATTGCCCAACTGGCATCTTCCTTAAGCCTAGAACAGCCAACCATTAAAAAAAAAAAAAAAGGGAACACCAGGGAATGATGTAATCTGAAGGCAATCTGCTGATGAAACGAGACCTCTGATTTAAAAGTCTTGGCTTTTTCGCAGACACAGAAAGGGGGTACGGACGGATGGTAGGGTGCATGTACTGAATTTTCCCTCCATGAGGTTGATTGGAAAGCGTTCCTATTTAAGGAAGCTCGGCAGTTTGTGGGAACCTGGTCTTCCTAAAGTTGCCCCCGCCCCCCCAACCCGATGTCCCTTTCCGCAGCAGGCAGTTCGATTTTCTGTGGTTATCACCAAGTGGGGCCACTTTGCAGAGTTTGTAAATCCTGCATCAATTGCATCGTGTGTCTTGTTCTTTTCAGTTTAACCAGTCAGTGAGCAATGAACTAAATATTGGGGTAGGAACCTCTTTCTGTCTCTGTACTGATGGGCAGCTTCATGTCAGGCAAATCCTGCATCCGGAGGCTTCCAAGAAGGTAAGAGTGCTGGCTGGTGACTGGAGGGTTTTGTTGTTGTTGTTTTTAATGGTTTACCCAATTTTCTCGATTTTGAAGAGATGCATATGGGGAGTCATTGTTGCAATTGTTAAAATGTTACATAGCGTGTGATGTATATTTTACCACAATACGAAATTCACAGCACTTTCATAGAGGCGTTTGAGATCGCAGTAATTTTTAGAGATAAAGTTTGGTGACTTAATAAAAGTTTTAGTTTTGTTTATGTTAAGTTTCTGAAATGTTTGACAGTCTCTCTTTTCTAATGCATATTAGCTACACTTTTGACACTTAAAACTACAAGTAAGAGAGAACTGTATTTTAATACTCTGTAATATTCCCATCTACATGGAAATTGGTTTATCTTAGGAAGGAAGGGGCAAAGGAAAAAAAGTCCAATTAAACTTTTTAAGTTATATGTCTCATAATTTCATTCAGAAGCTTGCACTTCAAAAGTAAGACTTTACCATATAACCAGTAAAACGTTAATTGTCGTATAGTGAGCTTTCTCTGACTTAAAGTAAATGTTCAAAACTGATTGGATCCTGTGTCAAAATAATAGGGTCAGCCCCATTTTTCACCTTTGCTTATCTTTCTGATAATGGAAGAGAGTATGGGGTGCCAAAAGTGCAATCTTATTGTAGATATAATGTGTTTTCTCTCCCCGGGAAGAATGAGGGTTTGGGCATAGATAGCAGACCCAGTGTCGCCAATCTTTGCTAATATAGTTCATCTGATCGACTTAATTAGCTTGCGCTCTAACTTGAAAGAATGGAAGTAATATGTTTTTAGGGAAACTGTACGAGGCAATTCTTGCAATGAAAGGTTTAGACTGACAGTTGATGTTGCAACTGAGTAGTCCGTGCAGATCTTCCTTTTTACTCCAGTAGGGAAAAGGGAAGAAATACATGTACAGTGATAATTTTTAAAGTTTGAAGGAGAAACTCAAGTTCCTATATCTTGAGGATTGAGAAAAGCACTCCCTTTGTAGCAACCTTAGTAATTATTGGATTAGAAGGGGGAAGTATTTTTTGTTAATTAAATGCTAGACCAATTGCTATACCCTTGATCCAGAGATAGACATATTTGAGGATTCCACACCCCCCTACTCCCCACCCCACCCCTGCAACTCATATGAGGTAGGATAAAGCTTAATCCTTTCCCTGTTGGGCTGAAGAGAAACAGCTGTTTTTCTTATTTTAGATAGGCTGTCTTGGATATGGGAAAACCTCCAGAGAAAAAGAGACATTTTCCTGAGTCACTTGTATTAGGATTTTGATTAAAGAAAACAGAAACAATTAATTTAGTATAATAAAACAATTTAGTATCATAATGAATGTTATTCTATTCGTTAAGGAAAAGTAGAGAAAATGGTAAAACATAAAAGTAAATATTCCTGCCACTCAGAATATATTAAAGTATTTTTCTCTAATATGAACATATCTGGATATATTCTTAAAGATTTTTGTAAAGAAAAAAAAGCTTCATTTTTACAAGGAGCATTCACACTGCACAAACCTTTTCGCCTATTTTATAATTTAACAATATGAATGTCTTCTGTAAGTACTAAATAAAATACTCAGCATTTTAAATGGATGCAACTATTTAAACCGATATTTTATGTTAAATATGGGCGTTATTGTCATTAATAGTAGCTTTTAAGTGAGCATTTTTGTAAGCAATTGTGAGGATTCATGATTCTTTTGGTAACTATTTTGAAAACTGGCCATAATACAGTGCTAACCCTATTTCAAATATAGTATGAGCAGGTTACATGTAATAGAATCCAAAAAAGGAAAGTTATATCGAGACATTCATTATGGCATAAATGTTAGGGGTTACAAACATTAAAAGTCTTTATTTCCTTGATTTTCTAATTTACAAATGAGAAATTCCCAATAAGTAAACACAATGAGAGGTTTTCAAAATTTTAAGAAAAATCTAAATTCAGTTTTAAAAAATCTTCAAAAGTTATTCAATGAGGGTCCCCTGGGGTGGGGGTGGGGGTGGGGGGGTCAGAGAAGAGAAGAAACAATAGTGTAATATTTGTCCTGACAGTTGCTTTGTATGATAATCCTAAGAGTGGTACCTAAGAATAGCAGGTAACTATATCTCCGTTGCCTTTGAGATTTATGGTATCTTTTAAGTCTAATTTGACTTCTCAGGTATAGCCAAGAATAATGGTCAGGAAAACTAATGTGGCACTGTAATTTCGCACAAAAATAATTCTTTTCAGGTAATCAGGAATTCACTATCTTAATGTGATTTTGGTACAGAAAATATGCATTATTAGAACCTAGTATTTAAAACTACGTTTTCTAACTGAATCCTGTATGTGAACATATGCATTTTTAGGAGAACTGAAGGCTGGTTTGCTGCTGAAAATACAAGTGGACTAAAATGATTACAAGTTGCAAAAGAGTGTAGTTTTATCAAACAGAATTTATATTTTGTATTTTATATAAAATACAACAGCCTAAATGTATTACAGCATTAGAAGTGTTTTTGAATGGAATGAATAATGGAACATAAGCATTATAATCCATTGCCTTAAACTAAGATGAATTTTCCCATGAGACTTGTATATGCAATACAATACTATAACAGAAAATAAAAACACCCTAACATTCAATTTAAAAAAATTGTGGTAAAATATATTTACACTCAATCCTTAGATTTATAGTTATTAGGGAAACAGTAACCTAAATTCATCTAGTTAACGATGTATACCTTGTCCTTCCTCAGAATGTATTATTGCCTGAATGCTTCTATTCCTTTTTTGATCTTCGAAAAGAATTCAAGAAGTGTTGCCCTGGCTCACCTGATATTGATAAACTGGATGTTGCAGCAATGACAGAGTGTATCCTTTAAGTGGTTACCCAAGTATCATTTGAAAGGATAGCTGCAGGGAAAAAATGGCAACGCAAAAGAAAAAAACCATTAAAACATTTTTAACTTTATCAGTGTATGGATGAAAATGGCCTGTCCTAAACTTGTCTATGTGCTATGAGAACTAGCGCCATTATAGGCATCTTTTAAAGTATTTATAATTTGCTGAATTTTGATAGTGATTTAGTTAGATGAATTTTTGTGAGTTGAACACATCTAGAGTAGAATAGAGTTTCATATTATGGGAGTAGCTTGGGTCTTCTTGGTGGTTGATGAATTGAAGAATGTGAAGACTTAATTTCTTTGATGCCAATTCCAAGGCCACTTGTTCTTGACTATCTTGAGCAACTCCACTAGAGCAATAAGCCATCTTTTGAGATAAAGTGAGGTTGTTTTTTTTTACCCCCAAATTTTGTATTACCAAGGTGTAGTGTATCTAATGCATTATGTCTTTAAAAGTAAATCTAATAATCACAAGTCTTATAATCATGAATGACCCATCATCTTTAATCCGGTAACTCTTTAAAGTGCTAATTAATAAGCAGTCATGTGCTAACATATCATGGAATACTGAGTAATAGAAGGGTTAGGTGACACGCCCAAAGCCACTATGAGAATTGTCATGACGTTGGGTTCATGTTGCTTTCAGGAAGTTGTGGGTTATAGATGTTTCTTCTTAAACTTTCTCATTCTTTTTCAGGAGCTAAAGCCTGGCTTTGTGTTTCTTTTCTTAATCCAAAGCCTGGTTTTGTTTTGTTTTAAATATATTTTTATTGAGTTCAGACAGGAAGGGAGAGGGAGAGGGAGATAGAAACATCAATGATGAGAGAGGATCATTAATCAGCTGCCTCCTGCATGCCTCCACTGGGGATCAAGTCCGCAACCTGGGCATGTGCCCTGACCAGGAATCGTTTTGGTTCATAGGTCAATGCTCAAATACTGAGCCATGCTGGCCGGGCTAACGCCTGGTTTTTTAATTTATTTTAACATTTCTTTTCTTGATTGACAAAGGTTTGCGTATTTTTCTTAAGCACTTGTAAGTGTGTCAAACTCTAAATTTTATTTGCCTTCTTCCTAGAAGCAGTTAGCTTCAGTTTTGGTTTAGCTGGTTAGTAGCTAGTTGTTGGTTAGCCAGTTTAGTTCCCAGTGGAGCTGGGAGAAGGGTGGAATAAGCACATTTTGCGAGGATTCTTTGTAAGAATTTCATTAGAAAGTTGGGACAGCAGAAAAATTCTTACTTTTTGTTCTGTTGGTTTGAATGCTTGTATTTGTTAACTCCGGCTGCCGTAACAAATACCATAGACAGGTGACTTAACACAATTCTGGGGTCTGGGAAGCCTGAGATCAGGAGGCCAGTTTCTGGTGAGGGCTCTTCCTACCTCCTCACTGTGTTTCACATGGGTGGGGGGAGCAGTGGGGGAAATATTTCTTTTTCTCTGTAAGGCCACAGATCTAACAAATGAAGGCCCCTTCCTTATGGCCTTAACTGCCTCCTGAATACTGGTCTCCAGATACAGTCACATTGGGGGTTAGAGCATCAACATAGAAATTTTGGGGAGGAACACAGTTCAGTCCATAGCAAATGCTAACCTATCTGATGCACTGGCATAAAAGAGAGAACCAAACATTCTAAAAAGAAATGAAGAAATAGTGGAGGAAAACTCTTATAAGTTATCTTAATTTAGAAAAAGACAGTTTGAGTAGGAAAGGCAGTTAAGAATCCTTTATCCCTGACTATTCAGTTTCCTCTTTAAGCAAAGAAACTCTTTCCCTAGTGCTTATAGGTCAGATACTGGTAAAAATTTACATAGCTACAAATTTTTTTATATTTAGGTATTTTGGTTTTCTTAATGTGTTGATAGTTTAGGGAAAACTTGTTAAAAGTTCATCCATTTTTTTCCTCTTGGTTTCTTAAGAGTTTCACATATATAAGATTTGGGTTTATTATTCAACATTTTCAAATATGGTAGACTGGGCTTTTTACTTGTTCATGTTACTTTTAAAAATAAAACATGGCATTATCTGACCTTTAGGTGAATGGGTAGGATTCTGTGCCAATTATTTTTTGTCATTCCTTTTAATCCTAATTCTATAACTATTTTGTTGGTGGTTCTTTTTCAAATGCCATGGAGATGAAAATTAAATATAGCATGAGTTGTGAATGAAGCTAGGTCAGGCTCCATTTCAGGCATATCACACGTGAACTTTTAGGAAGGATCTCATAGCCATTAAATAATGCCTTCATTGAAAAAATTAGGGCCCTGGCTGGATTGGCTCAGTGGACAGAGCTTTGGCCTGGGGATTGAAGGGTCCTGGGTTCAATTCTGGTCAAGGGCACGTGCCTGGGTTGTGGGCTTGATCCCTAGTAGGGGGTGTGCAGGAGGCAGCTGGTCAGTGATTCTCATCATTGATGTTTCTATCCCTCTTCCTTTCTGAAATCAATAAAAATATATTTTTAAGAAAAGTAGGGAATTTTATATTTCTTTAAAAATAGCTTAATTAAAGCCTAGTTTCTTTTGGCTTCCATTGGGAGAGTTAGATTTATAGTTTCACTACCAATCAAGAAGTGGATTTTAATCTTAAGTGTGTTCATTAATGTTTACTTGTGTGTCCCCCCCCACCCCCCCACCCCACTTAGCAGGTAAGAAATATTATTAAGCTTTCCTAGGAGTGGCTTTTGTTTTACTTTGCTACTGTGATCAATTATTTTGTGACTCCTATTCAGAGGAATCATTATTTCCCTGAGCAGGCCACCAAAGCAATTCCTCAGGTCAAAAGCAATTATACCAAATTTGACTTATCAACTTGCCCTTATCTATGCAAAGGATTTCTATAGTGCCTGCATTGAAGAGCTGTCCTATTCTTTCAGACCACTAGACATTTTCCTTTGTAATATGGAATTGGCACTAAATTGGGAAACGGTAAAGATGGTCATTACACATCCTTGGTGGTTTTGCCAAGTAGATGTAGAGTCACTTGCTCCTGAAGGATTTACCTGTTCTACCAGGTAAACCAGCAAGGAAGGGCGGCTCTTGCCAACCCCTGGGAAGAGACAAGCGAATACGCGGCTTGGCTTTCCTGGGAGAGTCACTTGCTTTCTCCAAGCCTCAATTTTATCTCAGGTATTCCCAAATGAAAGCTTTGCAAACTATCAGGTGCTATGTAAACAAAAAAGTGTAGCTACTTTGATAAGAGAATGGGTTTTAGGAATTTCTTGAATGCAGTTCTGGTTCTTATTTTAGCACTTATTTTCCTCTTTTGTGCTGGTTCTAAAGCCACTTCTGGTGTTAGTGTTGGGCCCCTCTGAGGTACGCCAGTGGCAGTGTTGTTACCTGCCTTTTGAGTTATTCGGTCCCAGCTGAAGAGACTTCCTTAGTAGGTGAACTGTGGGTGGCATTTTGTAAGGTTTTTACTTAATCAGGTGAGGTGGTGAGGGTGTGGTGATAGGTACTGGGGCCCTTGTGATCTGTTGTTTGGTTTGGGGGAAGAAATAATCTTAGGTCCCTTATGGAAATTAATACTATTTGTCTTCTGGTAATAGGACATTTTGCTTGTGGGACTATTTACATAAATGAGTTCCCCAGTTTTCAAAAAGTGTAACTGTATTTTATCCCCCTAATGTTGGATAGAATTGGTTTCTTGACCTATTTTTTGTTAGCTTTGGTATTTGTGAACTGATTTACTCTGATTAATCAAGACCCTCTCCTGTTTTGTTTACTCCACTTTGCCAAGCCTCTACTAAGAACTTACTTTTATGGCCTGTAAGGAGAGTAGGTGAAAGAAGAGAATTGTTTGTTGAGTGCTTACTATATATGCCATCAGTAGCCTCACAAGTGCCCAGTGGAGGGTGGTATCACCCCTTCTTACAGCTGGGGAAACTGAGGCTTAGAGGTTTTATCTTTTGTTACTTAGGAGCTGCCAGCATTTAATCCTGAATCTGTTGTAAAAGTCCTACTCGTTAACTAGGGAGTAATATTCTAAAATGTATAAAGATCTTTTGAGGGTGGGGCAGGCATTTTAAGTAGATTATCTCCCTTATAAATTTACATTCTGTGCTTCTTGAGCACATACTAAACTAATCAGCAGGAAAAGGAAGTTGATTTTGTAAAAATTCTATTCAGTGGTAGGGTATTGCATCTGTATGTACAGTTTGACATTAGCAAACTAGAGACCCGGTGCACGTGCACTAGTGGGGGGCATGGCCTATGGGGATAGGCCTGCTGTGGGGGTGCCGTTTATCCTGGTCAGCTGAGCTGCACTCCACTGTGGGAGCGCACTAACCACCAGGGGGCAGCTCCTGCATTCAGTGTCTGCCCCCTGCTGGTCAGTGCACATCATAGCGACTGGTCGACCAGCTGTTCTGGTCATTCTGCCTTTCGGTCCCTGGGCTTTTATTATATAGGATACCATTGTATTAATGCAGCTTTTCATTATCAGGGTAAAAAAAAAAAAATCACTAAACCACTCTTACCTGCGCATCCAAGGTTTAGTAGAGGTGTGAGTCTGTGTTTATACGTGTTTTACCACCTCTCAGTGGGGGTAAAGGATATGTGTGTGTGTGCGCACATGCTACTAACACAGTGAGATTGGCCTGTTTTTTTCATATATTAACGGTGTTCATATATAGCAGAGTGCTTAAGAACATGAGCTCCAGAGTTGAATTCATAGGGGGCGAATTTAGCCCCCTCTCTACCTCAGTTTCTCCAGTTTGAAATGGGCATGGCTGTTGTAAGGAATGATGAGGCATTGTATGCAACCACTTAGCCAGTGCCTGGTCTGCGGCACACCCTCCAAGGTTGACTGTGATCCTTCAAACCTCACCAGGTTGTTGGGTGTCTCTGATGAAGAAAAACAGCTGCCAAGAACTTTGAAAAGGACTTCCTTATTGATTTAAGATCATGTCTAAATTGCTTTGCCCTTAAAACTTTTTTAACTTCGTGTGAGACTGGATATAGACCTTTAAAAGCCTCA